ATGCTAAAGTGCTAACCGTAAATGTAAACGCAGCGATTTAAGCTACAAATTTGGTTTTGAGTTTCCCAACAGCTGACGCACAAAGAGAAACCTCAGAACTTGCACAACTACAGTTATCAGAAAGGAGAAAGGATGCCTTCTCAGGAAAGACAAAGCTTTTCCTGGTTCCAAATTTCAAAAGCAACATCTCAGAAGTTTTTCTGCATTGGCTTATAAATTACCTGAAACCTTAACTACTTTTTACCAAGGGGTTCTAAAGCTTTAGAACTAGTGATGTAGTAATTGGGACTGAGACAAATTATTGAAGGTGAATGACCTAGATCTCTGTACTCCAAATCACAATGGTATTCTGCAACAATTACTCTCCTGTAATTCTTTAAATTCTCTCAGTTGAGCTTTCCCTGCTACATTCATTGTGAGATCACCCAAAGGACAATTAGATTCACCCCTTCCACCTCAAATAAATGTTTTTATTTCCAACTCATGCGGAAGCTTCAGACTGAGGACAGATTTAAATAAAATATATTTTTAGATGAAATAGCTACATTCAAAAGGCTCTTCTCTTACCCAGATGTAATTCTGGCCTACATTGCAAAAAAGCCACATTGCTCTCCCTTCAAAGGCCACAGTCACCTTTCAGGGGCATTGGCACATGAAGTAAACAGCCTTTGCAAAACAGTACTACAGGTGAGCTCTCCCTCCCCAACTGCAGAGGCACCTCCACTAATCTGCATATGCTAACATGGGTTTCCAGGGAAGTTGCCAAAATAAGCTCCTGTCCTCCCTCACCTTTACTTTAATCCCCACATAGGTTTTGCTTTTACCATATGGTAATTACTTCCAAATCACAAGTGCAAACACTCACTCTGATTGGAAAATTAGCAGATTTCAAACTCAGGTAATTTGTCCCTAATGAGGAACTTGTTGAACTGAATTTAACAATTAACTCGCACACCCTTTGCTGCCTGCAGCTACGGGAGTGAAGCAGGGAAGACAGAAGGGCTAGACGAGGGCTGGGGCCTGGACCTTGTGTACAAGATAAAGGTTGGGATGAGGGGAAGATATGTTAACGGGGCTGTAGGACCTATCAGGAACTTGACTGTTTAAATGGATATAATATCTATGAATTCACATGTAAATGAATTTCAAACATATGCCAAAGTAGAATAGTATAATGAGTCTCCATATATCCATCAACCAGCTCCCACAGTTATCAACTAATGACTGATCAAGTTTCACTTCTGCAGGAGGAGCTAGAGACCCAGAAGATGCACAGGAAGGAGGTGCAAAAGGAAAAGGAAAAGCGTGATGCCTCTCCTCTCTCCCACTCCCTCAGGTTCCAAGCACTTTAGAGTAGATACGGGTTGGTGAGTTGACTGCTGGGAAAATGAGTGTCCTCCTCGTAGGTATTTTGCATATGGCTGTGCAGAGCCTGGCAAAAGGCTGACCTTTTCCACCCTCCTCGCTCCATGGCTGGGGCCACCTGATCTTCACCTGCAGGTCCTGGCCCAGGTGACCATAGGCCCTGAGAATTACAAGAAGCTCCAGCCTGGTACAGGTACATGCAATCAGCATCATAAATGTAACTCCACCTGTGTGCCTCAAACCCAGGTCATGCCTCATGCTCTATCCCCATAATCTGCTTTGCTTCTGACCCTCTAGAACTGTGCTGACCCACATGATAGCCACTAGCCATACATGACTATTAAACACTTGAAATGTGACTAGTGAGACTGAGGAACTAATTTTAAATTTTATGTACTTTTAATTAAAATTTTAAAACTGGTATGTGACTCAATTATGGGAAAATTTCCAAGTGTGTTTGGAAAGGAAATCTATATTTTCAACTGGAAGGTTTATAAAAATCTAAACACAGGACAAATATTTCTGATGAAAATTTGGTATATGAGTTGAGAGTCTCTGGAGTTGGAAGTCTTATGTAAAATGTCTCATTGAGAATTTAAAAATATTGATAATATAGGAATGATATTTGAGATACATTTGGTTACACAGAATTTATTAAAAGTAATGTCCCATTTCTTTTTATTTAAAAAAATGCGGCTACTAGAAAATTTAAAATTATATATGGGTCTCACATTATACTTCTATTGAATAACACTGCTCTAGGGCTAAGGTCCTGTCTTCACTTGCAATTATCCTCAAGGAATATAATCCTGTTCCCAAATTCCCACCCTGTGACAAAGGCTCCTTTCTGCCTGACACGTCCTTTTTTGCTAGGCCTACCTTTATTTTTGTGGCTGCTTATTTGTCGTTCTTTCTTGTCTTCATCTTTTGAGATTTTTTTATTGTGTACTTCTTTCTGGCATTCCTTTCGGCCTCAATGTTCTGCTGTTTGGCTCTGATGTTGGTCCTTGCGGGGCATTTTTTTTTTTTTTTGGTGTGTTTTCTTCCCTGTTTTCATGATTCTTGTGTAAATTCCTCGTTTTCTCGTTGTTTGCATCCATCTATTGTCTTGGGTTTGTTTTCTGTGTTTATGTTCTTTGTTGTTCGTGATTGTGGGAGGTGCATCCACTTATCTTGCCTGTGGTTGATCTTTATCAGGGCTTACTTTCTTTTGCTGCTTAGGAAGAAAGCTCCATTTCTTCTCCTTTCTGGGCAGGGTTGGTTAGTTGCTTGATGTAGTACTTTGGCTGTTGTGTTTGTGTATTACTTGAGGGAGTCGGGGGGCTCTGGTGATATTCTGTTTCCTTTGGCTTTTTATTGCGTTTGGGTTCTTTGTTTGGTCTGCAGGTCTTGGCTTGAACTCTTCTTTGCAACTGGTTGTTGCACTGGTTCGCTTCTTAAAAGTGCAGGCACCATTCCCAGTTATGTCCAGGATGATCTGATGGACTTGGTGTCACTGAGGAAATTCAATGTGTTTGCTTGAAGTTGGCCAGATTTTTCTTTGCCTTGGTCGGGCGTTCGTTAGTTGTTTGGTTTGTTAAGTCTCATTGGCTAGTTTTCTGTTTCTTGATGTGTTTTTTGGCTGTGCGATCTCATTTTTTTTTTTTTTTTTTTGGGGCAAGGGGGAGAGAGATATATGTGTGTTTTTAGAAAAATATTTCTTATATATGGTGGGTTTGCTTCGTTGTTGTAGCGGCGCATATTTTGTGCTGGACTAGATGCTATTCTTTTATTGTTGTGTTCAGCTCTGGCCTATTGGCGACAGGGTAGAGGCAGCCCAAGTTTCCCTGTTCATCTGTGTTTGTATGCACAAATTTTGTTACTTCCAACCATTGGATTTTTCTTAACCCCCGGAAGGGATGGAGTTGGCATTTCTTTTTCCACCTTGGATGCTTTTGACACATTTTGTGCTGTGTGAGAGGTGTGAGACACAATATCCCATATTGTGTTTTATGACATTTACAGGAAGTATTTAGGCAAATCCATAGAAACAGAAAGCAAACTCGTGGTTGCCAGAGGCTAGGGGTGTGAAGATGACAAGCTAGTGCTTAATGGGTACAGAGATTTCTTGGTGGGTGATGAAAATGTTTTGGAAACAGAAGGGGTAGTTGTACAACATCATGAATATACTAAATGCCACTTTACAATGGTACTTTAAATGGTTAGTTGTTCTGTGATTACTCCTTAGTTGTTAAAAAAAAAAGGAAAAAGAAAGACAAAACAAAAGGGCACAAAAGTTCATGGTTCTTTGAGTCTCACTGGAACAAAGGAAAAAATGAGGGAACAGGAACTGCTGAACAACTGATGATGAAGAATAAAGAGAAAAAAGACAGAGAAAGAAAGGGGTTCTACTTAAGAAACAAGGCTACAAATATTTGAAAAGCAAACAAATAAAATGGATTTTCAAATGTTTTGCTATTAACTTCTTGCAAACAACCTACAAAAAATGTAAATTATTTTATAAAGAGAGAGAATACAAGACATCCAAAAAGAGCCTTTTCAAGGCCAGTGAGAGAACCTGGCTCTGTGGGGTACTAGGCACAGACAGGGCCTTTGAAAGGGCAGGGGACTGTCACACAAGCAGATCGGCCACCAATTCCATTCCACAGCTTTGGAGGTCTCCAATGTACTCAATCGCAGTGTGACAAGCATCACTGTATTGTACTTTCTTTTCATTTCATTTTTCAAAATGAATGCGCAATAATTTCATTTCATATATTGTGCATAAAACTATTAATCTAATGGAATTGATAGAATATTGATAGAATGGAATTCTTCTGAAAGAGGATTCTCAGAATTCATAGGTCACTTTCATATATATTATATATAGTGAGACCATTTTTAAAAAGCAATTACCTTCATGTCACATGAGACAGCAGGGATAAATCATGAGGACATTATGCCAAGTGAGATAAGCCACTCACCAAATGACAAATGCCATACGATTCCACTTCATGAAGTGGCCAGGGTAGTGAGCTCATAGAGATAGAAAGTAGAATAATGGCTGCCAGGGACTGGGTGAGGGAGAACGGGGAGTTGGTTGGTGTTCAACGGGCATGAGTTTCAGTGTTGCAAGATGAAGGTCTGGAGATCTGCAACACAACTGTGGGGGTGTATTTAATACTACTAAACCATGCACTTAAAAATAGCTAAGGTGGGCCATTTTAGATTATTATGTTTTTACCCCCATTAAAAAATTTTAAATTCCACTCTTGTTAAAATATTAACTTAAAATCTTGTTAAAATATTAACTTAAACATTGTTGGCTTTGCCATTTTATGGCTTTAGAGAAATTATACATTTCAAGAGTTTAAACTCAACCTGGTTGGGATTTGGACATTTTAAGACACTATATTAATTATATCAACAGCAGCAACGACAACGAAAGGAGTAACTTAGGCAAAACAATGCTCCTTTAGGAAATCACTTCCCTGCTTCTATATCAAAATCAGTGGACTGTGCTTCTGTGTCAAGTGTGTACCTTAAAATGTAAAATACCAACACATGAAAAAAAAAACAAAACTTAAGTAAAAACTGGGAATTAATTTGGGTCAGTGCTCCTCTGCTTTTAAAAGAGAGACAAATTACCACAAGCCTTAGGGTGCTGGAGGGGTTGGCTTGCCTCCCTTCGTCTGACCCACAGACTGGCTCCCTGCTTGCCCACCTGGATGTGGCTGCACTACTGGAATAGCACCTGTTGCCAAAAACAGTGGCTGCTGCCGGACCTTCAACTGTTGCATCTGGTGCTGCTGCGGCTGTGGATGCTCCTGCTGTGGCTGTGGCTGCTCCTGCTGTGGCTGCGGCTGTGGTTGTGGTTGATGCTTTGGTGGCTGTGGCTGCAGCTGCGATTGTGGTTGAGGCTTTGGTGGCTGTGGCTGTGGCTGCGGTTGTGGTTGAGGCTTTGGTGGCTGTTGCTGTGGCTGTGGTTGTGGTTGAGGCTTTGGTGGCTGTGTCTTCAGCTGCAGTTGTGGTTGAGGCTTTGGTGGCTGTGGCTGTGGCTGCGGCTGCGGCTGCTGTGGCGGTGGCTGTGGCTGCTGTTGCCTCAAGACAAAGGGAAGCTGGGCCCTCTGCTGAGGAACCGGGGCAGAGCCAAGCTCAGCTGACACAGCTGCCTGGGGCTGGGGCTGCAGACCACTTCTGGCTCCAGCGAGATTCATGTCAAGAAGTTGCTGAGCAGGGAAGGCCCGCCCTTGAGTGCCCAAACCTTGTGTGGAACCCTGTGGTCCTGGCTGAGGAGGGTGAGCAGCTGTGGGCTGCTCGGGCTGCTGCAGGGAAGGCAGCTGATGGAGCCGCTCCTGTGAGCCACTCAGAACCACGGAGCCCTGCAGAATCTGGAGGAAAGTCACAGGCCTGAGACCTTCAGGAGTATTTAGGAAAAGCCGAACAGGTGCTGGAGAAGATGCCTGTACTGAACCAGGCCTTGCATCTGGTGGTGGACCTCCTGAGGACTGAGGGCCACTCCCACTGATTCCTGCAGGAGCTGGGCCACCAGGGTCAGGGGCCTGCACAGGCTTGGAACTGCTCCCCAAAGCCTGGGCTCGGTGGACTGGGCCCACCACGTTGATGGCCTGTGGGCCAGTGGAGCCTGTCCCGACCGGAATGGCTGGGGCTATTTTTGTGAATCTGCTTGGGGGCCGGACAGTTGGAGGGGGCCTGATAATGTGAATGAAATGCACAGAGGACTTCTGAGAATGACTTGGTGCTACAGAAGCAGCAGCAGCAGCAGCTACAGCAGGAGGAGCAGCAGCAGCTACAGCAGGAGGAGCAGCAGCAGCAGCGGGAGGAGCAGCAGCAGCAGGGGGAGGAGCAGCAGCAGGAGGAGGAGGAGGAGCAGCAGGAGGAGCTGGAGGAGCAGGAGGAGCAGGAGCAGCAGGAGCAGCGGGAGGGGGAGGAAGACGAGGAGCAGCAGCAGGAGCAGCAAGAACAGCAGGAGCAGGAGGAGCAGAAGGAGCAGGAGCAGCAGGAGCGGGAGGAGGAGGAGGAGGAGGAGGAGGAGGAGGAGCAGCAGCAGGAGTAGCAGCAGCAGGAAATGGACACTTAAGAGAGCTGCCTGCCTGTTGTGGGGGAAAACTGTTACCCGAGGAACTCTTTCCTGAGCTTGAGGGAAGTCGGGTGGAGGGAGGTGGATGTTTCTCTCCCTTCCCCAATACTGAAGCCTGGACCCAAACAGGCTTAGGCTGTTCTGGTGTTTTCCCTGAAGAGAGCTGACTGACACTAGCTGGGCCACTGGAGCTGCGTGACATCTTGTCTGGACCTTTGACTTTGCTCTGCACCGATTCCTGGGCCCAACTCACTGCCTTCCCAGCATCAGCCTCTGGCCCAGGCCTGAGACCGGATGAATGGTCATCTGGAAAGGGCTGGCAGCGAGACTTCTGGCCCTTCTGCCTGGCTTTTTTACGTGGCTGTATTTCATCACCAAGAAGCGGATCATTAAATGACTGCATCATGCTCGGCTTGGTGTCCCAGGCCTGACAGCCAGCTTCCCAACCAAATCCGAAAGGGTCTTCTACCTCCTGGGCTGGCCGGTCTGGGAACTGGGGGTCAGCAGCTGTTACGAACTGACTCCCTTTAGCAAGTTTCTCCACATCCACTTCAGAAGGCACAGCCAAATCACGGGGTCTGTGTTTCCACATGTCTACACAACTTCCTGATTTAGCAAGGTTCAGCTTATAAGGCTGACCCACTTTTCTTTCTTCTTTTTGGCCAGAAGTTGACATTCTTAGCTCAGGAGGGGGTGGATAGTCAGAATGCTCCTGCTGTGGCTTTACAGAGGGCCATGAATATTTCTTGAGGCACCGTTTCATCTGGTCGGTATTCATCTTTTGCTTGTTGTACAGCAGCCTGTTTGCAGTGCAGGCAACTGCTACAGAAGGATCAAGACACAGTGGTTCAGCTGTAGCTAATATCAGTTGGCTCTCAAGCTCAAGTTTGTCTTCCTGGCTCCATTTCTGGCTATCTCTTGTCATTGACTTCACATCATGGGCCAAAGTCTGCATCGTTGGACGTAGGAGAATATGCCTACTTTGGTAAGCAGGGGGTTGCATATTACCGGACTGCCTGTAGTCACGGACTTCTACTATGACACACCCACTATGAAAAATATTAACCGAAGCTTTTTCCAGGACATCAATCAAAGCAGGGGGTAATTCTTCTGCATCCAAGTAGTCGAGCAATGCCGTTTCATCATAAGGCAGTCGAATGGTCTCTGCAAAGGACCCGTCTTTTCTCGGAGCATCACAGAATACCCCTGATTGCCTGGGTATAGATTGACCACTAAACACGGCAAGGAATCTCTCCTAACAAGCTTTTCTAACAAGTTTACATTGCTTCTCAATTCCTGAGCATCCTCAGGCTCTTTTCCACACTCCTCAACATAAATGTCATAAAGTTTTTCCTGTAGAGTTTTTCCCGCCCCAGGTGAGTACCTCCTGCTAGGAGGTCTCTGTTGGACACTTTCAATGATATTCTCTGCGCGATCCAGAGCGTGTTCTAAATCGCGATCCATTGTAACAGAAAACAGAGGCCCTAAAAGGAGAGAAAACGCATGTGTGTTGGTGAAGCGGGGTGGCTGTCACGGCTGTCATATTCATCTACAGGCCAACAAGACGCTGCCAAGTTCACACTGAGTCCCACAAGACGCCGCAAGTCCACACTGAGTTCAACATGGGTACCTGCCCAGAAACCCGCCCCCAGGGCTACCCAATTTGTTTGGGGGTTTCTAAAAACATCGGTACCTGAGGGGTCGTCGTCGCGGCTGGCTCGGGCTTCGCGTCTCTGCCTGCTGGACCGGAAGTGAACCTGAGGGCCGGGGTCAGCGCCTGGGCCCGTCTGCGCGCATGCGCACTCGCCGCACACCGCTGGTTCCCGGTCTACTGCCTGTCTGGCCTCCTGGGCGCCAGGCTCACCCGCCGAACTTCCGCGTCTGCTGCCCGCACTTACACTTGACTACTTGCCATTTCACCTCGAAAGCGTACGTGCAAAAGCACAAGTCACCAACGACAGTGCAGACGCATCATTCTCACCGGGCATAGACATCAGTTTCCACAGGAATGCCACTGCCGGGAAAGTCAAGGAAAGTTGTCAGCGGTCTTGGTGGAAACTTCAAGAATTGTTGGCTCTTTTGGAATCTCTTGCCATCAGTGACAGGGCTTCTGCTGGTAACCATCAGCCACTGGGCCGCGTAATGAGCCCGCAGTAGCAGTGCTTCCGTGCAGAGACGTCACAGGTTTGTGGCAAGCGTCAGGATTCTTCGTGTCGTCGTCCGGTGAGCTCCCGCCTGGGGGTGTTCATGTAGATGCACACAGAACGTGATGTTCGTTTACATAACCACTCACCTTTTATTTCCCTATGTGTCGAGTTAGGGACTTGCACATTAAAAAGTTACGTGGTGGGTCATTACATCGTCTATTGGTTACAGTTCAGGATGGTAGAGAGACATGAAACCATTCATTTCTCCAAGGTGATTTGCATCTGATAAGGATGAGAACAATTTGCTCCAGGTGATGGCAATAAATTTTCAATGATTACAGTAAATTGTAGACCTAAATTAAAGTCCTTATGACGGATTTGCAGGGATATCATTCAGTCCCTGGTAATTTATTGGACATTGTTTTCCATTAACTTTGTTGCTATGAAATCCCCCAGTTTATTTGTTTGTTTTTATTTATTTTATTGGACAAGGTCAATAATGCTTTTCTGGTGATAACTACTCCATAGCCTGTTTTTTCAATTCATAAGTGTGATCAAAATTCTTCCCCTCCCTCAGCTGATATCCCAGGATTCATCTCACTTATTAGAGTGGTATAACTCCCACCCTGCCATGGGATGGACTCGGTCTTCATTTGGTGAATTACCCATGTCTTCAGTTGGGTTTCCCCAAAAGTATTCCCGGAGGAGAGGATTTGAGTGGGAGTGGTTTGTTTGGGTGCTAATCCTGAGAAACACTGGTGATCTGAGTCAGGGTTGGGAAAAAAAGACAAAGAAAGGTGTATTCCTGAGCACAAGCAGCTCTGGACAACTGGTCCATGCTGGGGACCATGAAAGTCACTACAGAATAAGTCTGAGATTGTTCTGTTCTAGAGGCAAGGAAGCTGGGGTGTTTATTCTTCCACTTCTCTTTCTCATTGTCTGAGGACAGTCCTGGGAGCATTATTCCCTGACACTTCTGGTTGCCACATACAAGGGCCATCCATGCTGATGTGGCTCAAGGATGTCCTCAGACAGAGTCACAGATACTTGCAGTAAGACTCTGTTTGTATGTACGGAATGGCGAGTGCCAAGGGGAGATGGACAGGGAACCGGCAGCATTAGCTACATTTAGGGCTGGAGGTAAGTGGGAGAAATTCAGCCATTCATTCATTTTCCTTTTTTGAGACAGTCTTGCTCTGTTGCGCAGGCTGCTGGAGTAGAGTAGCGCAATCTTCGCTCACTGCAATCTCTGCCTCCCAGGTTCAAGCAATCCTCTTACCTCAGCCTCTCAAGTAGCTGGGACTATAGGTGTGTGCCACCACGCCTGGCTAATTTTTGTATTTTCAGTAGAGACAGGGTTTCACCATGTTGGCCAGGCTGGTCTCAAACTCCTGGCCTCAAGTGATCCACCTGCCTCGGCCTCCCAAAGTGCTGGGATTACAGGTGTGAGCCACTATGCCTGGCCCCATTCATTCTTAATTATGTAGATAATGTGCTATGTCATATATCTGGGCATATGGAGAAGTGCAGTTGTATTCCATCAAGTGAAATGGGCAATTTCATGTTAGGTTTTTTTTCAGGTATTAAAGCCAACAAGACCAAAAATGGAGGATATGACCCACTCTTGACTCCCCAGAGGGAAGACCCCAAGGCTGCATTGGCCACAGGTACAGTGGAAGAGGCTGTGAACCTGTGTGTGTGTTCCAACATGCATTACTAGGCCTGACAGTGCTTATAATGGCTTGGCCATCCCCTTCACTTGAGCTGCCTAATTGTCAGGCCTTTCCACAATATGAGTTTTTTTTTTGTTTGTTTGTTTTTTAATTTCTCTGAGTGCACACCATCCTTCAAACCTTCCAAGCATGCTAATGAGTACATTGGGTAATTATAAGAACTTCAATTGCAGCTCTCCCCTGTAGCAGCTCAGCAGAGAATAGCACAAGCTGAGAAAACTCATGGACAGCCTAAGATTTGCTAGAGGAATAAGAGATTTCAATTAATTGCAAGATAATTGTCCTAATTTAAAATTAGCAAACTACTTTGTTCTTTACCCATTGAGGTGTAGGTCTAGGTCTTTGCCACCTCTTCCCTGCTGCCATTAGAGGGACTAGCAGAGAATTTTAAAATACAGGGCCCAAAGACTGCAGAAGGTGAAGATACTGTTGCCTCCTGGTTAACCCTCCACCACTTGCTCTGTCACTGTATTTCTCCTATGATCAGGGCCCAGCTGTAGTAAAGCAAGCCTTAGGAAACATTGTAGCTCTGAGACTGAGCAAAGATCACTTTCCATAGCCTCCTACATCATTCAGTGCTTCCACATCTGCTAAGAGTTGTTTATTGGATTTAAGAGCATCTCACAACCCATAAATGCTGCACAGCATATTAATCTTCCCCCTTCTTCCTGTTCCCTCTTTTTCTTTTCTCGAACTCTATCCCCCTTCCCTTTCTTCCACTTGCCCATCCTTTAACCATTTTACTGAAGAGTAAATCAAATTGGATTTTGTTCTGTTAAGACTTTCATTCTGCTCTCTAAGTAGCCACATCCTAAGACAGGGTTTCTCCCTCTCTGTATGATTCCCATTTGTCATGTGGTTGTCCTGTCTATTATAGGATTTTTACTAGCATCTGTGGCCTCTACTCACTATATGCCCCTCCCATTTATGACAATCAAAAATGTCTCCATACATTGCCGAATGGTTCCTGGGGAACAAAATCATCCCTGATTAAGAGCCATCACCCTGTGGTATCACAAAACCAGGTCTAGAGAAATAAAGCAGCAATCTCTAAACCACAAAACGCTTTACACCTCAATTTCTAGGATGGTTCAAGTGATAGGTGCGATTTTTAAAATGTTATTTTTATTTTTACTGCAATGGCTGTTATGGTTGGCCCTGAATTACTTTGCTAATGCTCTAAATCTGCCATTGTACCTGATTAACAGAGAGAGCCCGTGGCCAGTGGGAGAGATGCAAACAAAAACATCATTAAATCTTCAGAAGCTATCTTTAAAAAAATAAACCAGCAAAGATATTTTTGTTCATCTGCCTGGTAAATGTCAATAGCCATTTAAAAATTTTCTAGATTTATTTAACAGTTAAGAACCTTTGCTCATTTCAAAAACGTATCTTTGGTCTTCGTTTAGTATTTGTTCTTTCAGGGCGTGTTATCTGCACTTTATTTTGCTTTCTTAATGTCACAGCATCACTGGACTTGGTCTTTAGACCATTTTTTCTGTATTTACACTCAGTCATTTGAGCAACTGATCTGGTCTTATGGCTTTAGGTACCATCTACACCCTAATGGTTTCCAAATATATAGCTCCAGCCTGGACCTCTCCCCTGAACTACAGACTCATAACCTCAAACTTCCTATTCAAAATCTCTTCCTGACTGCTGGATGGGAATTTTCAATTTAACATGTCCAAATTGGATTCTTTATCTCCTACCCAAACTTGCTCCTTTGGCAGTGTATTGGTGGGGTTCAATCAGGAATTGGAATCACTGTAAGTAATATGGAATTACATTTGCTTATAGTGACCAGACCCCACAAATCATGGGAGACCCTAGGGAAATAAATACGTAGAAGAGGACAATTGGAGGATTGGAGAAAAGTCATTAACCAGGGATCACAAAAGGAAGCTGGTGAAGAAGTCTATAGAGGGCTGTTGTCTCTGCATCTGGGCGTGAGCTTGATACCACTGGGGGTCAGTAGAGCAGGCAGCATTTAAGAAAAGCTGGACATGAAGCGAGAGAACAAGGGCCATCTGGAACACATAAGGACTAACTGGAACCAGCAAGGACAAACCTGAATCTGGCTCTCATTGCCTCTAACCTTGACGATTCAGGTGACTTGCAGAAGGAGCTGACTCCCTTTGCCATGGAGCTACACAGGCACTTGGGCCAGGACTCAGAAAAGCTGAAGAATATCCAGTGAGAGCTGGGCCAGCTGGGGGCCCAGCTACTGCCTACTCCCCAACCCCACCAATGTGAGCCAGTAGATCAGCGATGTGTGTGAGCTGCAGTGGTACCTGGTGCCTGACACCAACCTTAAGAATGATGGAGGCAGCAAACCACGTTGCCATGTATATACCTGTGCAACAATCCTGCATGTTCTGCACATGTACCCCAGAACCTAAAGTGCAATAAAAAAAAGAATGTAATGGCTGCTGCTTCAATTGTGACTTCCAGCTCTCATAAAAATTTCTCTTTTGGCCAGCCCTACCCCAGAATCATACCATACTTATGATGTTATGAGTGTAGTTCAGGACATAGGTCCAGAGGAAAGGGAATTCTAGGAAACATAGTCCCAGCTTAGCCAAGTTGACACAGTGCAAAGCTACCCAAACAACCTTCCCCATCGCAGGAAATGACAGCTTCACCTTTCCGGTTGCTTGGACTAAAATCCTTGGAATCGTCCTCAACTCTTCCATTTCTCTCTTCATCCCTATATCCAATAACAAGTATTTGTTGAATGAAAATAAAAAATGATCTAGAAGAGAAAACACATTAATTTGAAGAGTTTTTGTCTGGGGGAAGAGGAAGAGTACCTGAAAGGGTAAGAGAAACATCAACTTCAACCATTTTTATCTAAGGCTTGCCCTGCTCCTTGGCGTCGGTCTCAGTTGGCTCTATCAATTGTAGGTGTAGTCCTTAGAGGTTTCTCCCAGTTATCACAGGGAGTTCCTCAGTGATGGATTATGCATGTTCCTTGACTCTCATACCCTGAAATTGCTACCTGTTGACCGTTTCACTGCTCCC